GGAACCGAACTCACGACCTTGCGCTTGCCAGGCAGGCGCTTTTTGCCGCTGAGCTAAATCCCCAGCCCCGGAAAGCTGTTTTATATATTGACTGCTGGTTTATATTATGGAGAAGATACAAAGTTACAGAAGATGCTAATTATGCATTTTGCATAATGCATTTAATAAGAAAAAATTTAAGATTGCAATGGAAAGTCACAGTTTATACAACTTTATGCGAGTAATTATTTAATGCCACCAAAGTTACCCACATGCACATTTTGATACAGCTCACTTAGAAGTACAAATTATCACCCATGTAGTGTTCATGTCAAGGATGGAAAACTACATCTATCCAGGAAGGAATAACAAACTCAAATCAAGACATATTTTACAAAAGAAATGTCTGTAGTCATTTAGAGCCGCAGGAAGGTAGTGTTCTCAAAGTTCATACAAGAAAATCATTGCAGATTAAAGGAGACCAAACCGTTATTAAATGCAAGGCATCATTCTGGGATAATTCATGGAAAGGATAAAAGGTATTTGAAGGCAGGCATAGTGCAGTATGCCTCTAATCCCAGCACTCTGGGAAGCTGAAGTAAGCAGGTCACAAGTCTGTGACTAACCTGGGCAATTTAGCGACTTAACCAGACCCTATCTCAAAATTTAAAAAAATAATTAGAAGAAAGGCGGGTATGTGTCTCAGCCAAAATCCTGGAAGTGACTTATATGTCCGTCAACAAATGAGTGGATAACGAAAATGTGCTATGTATTCACACTGGAGTGATACTCTGCCAGAAGGAAGGATAAACTAGAGTTATTTGTGTGAAAAATGGATGCCCCTTGGGACCATAATGTTAAGTGAAATAAATCAAGCATACAAGCTTAAATATTGCATGGTTTCTCACATGTGGGAGAACTAAAATATAAATAACTAAATAAAAGATAGATACTAGGAAAGAGGGACATAGAGTTTTGCAAACCTGAACAGAACTAAGAGACAGAGTGAAGAAAGAGAGAGATGAGAAGATGGGAACCGGCGAGAATTATGTCCTGAAGAAATGCACTAAAATGTTTTCAAAAACAGTATTATTTGACAATTGATCGTTCATTTTAACATGGGTAGTTGAATAGACAATATTGTTCTATAAATGTTAATATTTTAGTGTGGTTGTTCAATAAAATGTTCTTGTTTGTAGAAATATATATTGAGTTCATCATGGGAAAGAAAGACATAATCCCACCTAACCTTCAAATAGCCTGTGTTGTTTTGACATGTTAATTTAACAACATAATAAAAAGGTATGAAATAGTAGAGCTCAAAAAAAAAAAAAAAAAAGAAATAGTAGAGCTCAATGAAATGTCCTTAGATTACTCTCAGTTCCTTAGTTGAAGTTTTATTTTTATAAATACAGAATGCATTTGGTATTTAGTCTAGAGACATAATAACAACAGATTGCAAGTATTGTCTAAGTGTTAAGTGTCAATAAGCTATTTTGATGTTCTTAAATCTATTCCAGTTATATGAATCAATCTTTCTCTTATTTCAGACTTTACATCGACAGTCCAGAAACTGCACTCATTACAGAAAGATAGAATACCTTTTTTATAATATGGAATATTATAAAATTGACTGATGAGACCAATTGTGATTAATTAATTGAATTTTAATTCAGTGGTATAGACGCCTATTTTCTGATTTTTCCATTCTCCTCCATTGCGTTGTACTAGTTCTCTGACCTAGCAGTGCTCTATGTTCTCTTGCTGTCAGGTTCACTGTTGCAACACTATTTCCTGCATTATATCGATGACGTGATTAAGCAGAAACCCAGTCCAGCACATGATAAGTCATTACCCAATGTCATGTAGATGCAGAGTGTAGTGTCTTACAAAGAGTAATTGAACTGCTCAAGCTCAAGGTCAGCTTTGTCACTTCTTGGTGTGTAACTTTGTCACTTCTTTGTCACTTCTTGGTGTGTAACTTAAACTTCCTATTGAGTGTTTCCCAATCTGCAAAATGCACCTAGCAGTATTATCTACTTTTTGAGGCTATTATGTGAATAAAGTCAGCTCACATCTATAAAACATTTAGAACACTCCTTGAAAAACATGGTGAAGTTTTTACACTTACACTTTACATTTAGAACACACCCTGAAAAACATGGTGAAGTTTTCACACTTACACTTTACATTTAGAACACACCCTGAAAAACATGGTGAAGTTTTTACACTAACAATAACAGTATTTCATCAATTATAGTCACATATGTTACTTTTGCATTTCTTTCCTTACCTTTGGTTAGCGCCTCTCACTGCACTAAGTGACCTCGGCAGAAAATTTACTATTGTTAGTAATATATTCAAGATAGTCCTGTTAAATTCACACGAAGCACTGCTGCAGGACCTTGGGCTATTAGACAGGTGTACTACAACAGTTCTCACAACCCAAATAAAAGGAAGTAATTCATTCTAGACACAATTTCTTATTTGGAAAATTTCTTCCTTGAGCTGTACTTATTTTGAAGGCAAGCTTCACTCAATATTTTTGTCTGAATATTTGTTTCAGTAACTCACATATATGGGATTATTTTAATATTTTAAAAAACATGCAAACAAAGTGATCAATGAAATAGACAAGCTTAATAAGAATTGTGGGAGGAAGCTTTAAAAGCTATCCCTCGATGCTCGCCTCCTGATATTCACACACTTGTGTTATCCTTTCTCTTGGGTCTGTCTAGTTATTTCTGATAAATAGACAACCACCATGGTGAGGATGCATAATTTGCTTGATTAGCTTAGGAAAGATGGGGGCTTCTATAGGAAAGATGGTGGCTTCTACCTCTTCTTATCAGACCTAAAAACGTTGCTTTCTTGGCTTGCCTTTTTTCATGAAGTGAGTGACATGCAGAACAGATCTGCTGGGCTGGGAAGGCCTATTTGGCCAGCTCAGTGCAAGAAACCACCAGGAACTTAATTCCACTAACATCTTTGTCCTGTCATATTGAGATTCCTATGCCTTCACCAATCTTCTCATTGCAACTGGATGAAATTCTGAAATGTAGAATGCATTTAAGCAGTGCCAAGATACCTGAGCACAGAATGTATAATATAATGCATGTATGTCTTTTGTGACTTTTAGTCTTTGGTAATGTGCTGTAGACAAATTATAAATACAGTATAAATATGACATGTTAAGTGCCAGGCTAACTATATTAGACTATTTAGCATAAAATATTCTCTAAAATAAAGAAAAATTTGGGCAAGTAATTTAGAATCACTTTGACATCTGTTTCTTTAGGAATTCTTTTCTCACATAGTTCCTTTATTAGCTTTATGCCACTGTAATGACATTCTGAGATAATCAACCTACAGGGCTGACACAAAATTTCAGAGATTTCCGTCCACATTCACTTGGTCCTGTTGCTTTGCGCCTGGGAGGCAGGACAGGGCAGGAAATTGTGGTCCTGAGCTCTATTCACCTCAAGGAAACCCCAAAGCAAAGAATGAGACAGGTAAGTGCCAGGGTCCCAGTGACACTTTGCCCTTCAAAATCGCAGGCCTAGGGAGATCACTGCCATCTACTAGCTGGTCCTGAAGTTCCCACCACTGTCCGGTAGTGCCGTGGACCAAGCTTTTAACACCTGGACCACTGGGGGGACATCAAGATCTAAACTGTAGCACTGCATGATTAAAGTATAAAATTTGTTTTAATTCATCATTTTTAAAATCCTTATAATCAAAACTTTATTGAAAGACTCACATTTTTCACATTATAATAGAATTTTCCAGAAATAAGAACTAAGACTTAACTTTTGAAAAGGTGTAACAGCTCTTTGGAGCTGGGTGAGTCTTGCACTTGAAGCTGCCCTTGGTTTTGCTGGAACACTGAGTACTAATGGACTCACACCCTTCAAGCCATTTGAGATCAGAGTGTATTATTGGCTGGATCCTAGCTGTACAAATGGTCGCCTGGCTTCAGTTCACACTAACCACATTTGCAACTGAAGGTTATTAAATTCATTTTAAGGAAGGAAATTTAAGTATATGTAGTCCAAATGGACATATTTAATTTGAAATTTTCTTACATATTTTTCTTACATATTTTTTGCTCATTTTCTTTATGCTACCACCATTGTGAAAGGCAATTTGCCTGTTAAGGAGTTTGAGTTTCCTTTTAATGAATTGATTTTATACCCAACATATTTCCTACACAATATCCCAAACAAGCCACATAACAAAACATGCATTATTCTGGAAGCAATTCTTCCCTAATGCTAAAATGCTTATTTTAATGTAAAATATCTTTTCCCTGATTATTTCTAGATGTGATACAGATATATTTGTTGATTTCATTAAATTGTGTTGTCGCTGTTGCCATATTTCAAGGTGCAGTTGGAGTGATTCTATATTTAGTAATTTCTTCTTTAAAGATATTAATGCAAAGAGAATCTGGACTATAAGTGTATACAAATGGTGAAGAAATTCAGAATGTTAGTTTGTGTTTTAAGATACATTTATATTTTTCACTCTGACCCCTGCATTTGCTTGGCTGTAACATAGAATTATTGTGCGCAAGTATGAGTATGTTTGTGTGTGTCTAATGTGGTCTAAATTAGCTCTTGTGTTAGATCTCTGGTATAGATAAATACTAACAAACACTTGGAACAGCTGTTTTTCTCATGGGAGGTAGTAAGCTGTTCATGAAATACATACATCTCTTAATTATTGCTCTGTACAAACTTAGTCATAGCATAGTCAGTCAGCCACAACAAAATTCCATTCTGTCAGCGGCTTATACAGCAGAGATTTATTTTCTTGACAGTCCAGTGTCTGTCAAGCCTGGTATCGGGGTGCCAGCATGGTGTATTCTTAACCGTCTTTTGCTTGTGTCAATAAACTATTTGGAAAACACAAAAAGTGGCCATTTTTAAAAATCTAGACTTTGGTGCTTAGTGAAAAGCTCAGTGTTTTTTAATACTCTTCAGCATAATTTGGTACGTTCATTATACTGACCACTTCAAGTATGGTCTAAGAATACAAAGACATCACTGACACATTTTTAGCTAAGTGGAGTCATTGAGGCATTGCAAAGGCAGTTCTGCTCTGATCTGCATCTTTTTTATCACAAGAATATGGTTGTCTCATGGAGCTACAGTGTACAAGCACAAAAGCAGATTTCTCAACAGAATACAGCTGGCCTGGTCTTCTTTATAAGAAAGTGACCTTTGACTCCATTATCTTTTTTTTTTTTTCAATTTTGATACAGGGTCTTGCTATGCATTCAGACTGGCCTTGACCTCACTGGAGCCCAGGCTGGCCTCGAACACGTGGTGATGCTTCTGCCCCTGCTCCGCCAGCCCAGTGCTGGGATTGCAGGTGTGCACCACCACGCTGAGCTTGAATCTGTCACCTTTAAGGAATACAGTGTATAGGAAAATGAAGATTTTGCTTAACATGGCCCAATATTTCACCTGTAATTAAAGGAATTCTCATTTTAGGATCTAAAAATTCCCCATCAAATTTTAGAGTACAGCATATCTTCAAATGTGAATAACTATTATCTAGATTTCAGTTCTGAAAGATTGATTTAACGTTTGTAAAATAGGCAGTGCCTCAACAGTAAGAACATATCTGCTAATAGACTTGTGGAGACCAGGACTCAATTACTAAAACCACTACAAAGAGAGGACCACATGCTTATATGACCACTCCACTTAAAGACAGGTAGTAAAATGAAAAAAGGGGAAAGTTCTCTTCTATGCTACATTTTCGAGAATAACAGACATAAGGGGAGAAATTACACCCCACTTAAAGAGAAACAAGCAATTCAGTTGCATTTTAGTTTCTCAGGATTCCTTAAATATTCCATTCTATACTTTAGCTTATGTAATATTCTATTTTGATGGATCTCTTATAACTCAATCAGGATAGGACCCTTCTATCATGAAGGTGGAGAAATAATTCATATATTGCTAAGCTCTGGAAAACCATTCTAAAAATGCTTGCTGTTGTAATATATGTGAGCTCATCCATATTTCTTCAAATTTTTTTAGTAAGCCACACTCTCAGTCTCTGACTTCTTTTTGGATACATGATAGTGGGCTCCAATTACTAGTTTTCATTGTACTAGATACAAAATCCAATGTTTCTTAACATAAAATAATTTTCTAACTAAGATTATAGCTGATTAACCCTGTGACTTTAAAATTAAACACCCAGGACTTTCTAAGATTGGTAGGTAGAAACATCTGTCTCTGTCATTGTATGTAAGCATGACTGAACATGTGTGTATATACGGGCATATGTGCTTTACTCTGTGCTTTTATTCATATAAATCCTCCTGAAATTGTATGATTTATTTCATATTTTCTTAAGGAATATGTGATAAAGGGAGAATGCTGAGAGAATAACAGTGAATATATCCTAACCATGGAGGTTCATCCCGAAACATAAAGGTAGTAGAAAGATTAATTAATTTTCAAATAAAGCCGATGTGTCCAGACACAGTATGTGAAGTATATACAAAACACACACAGTGTGAAGAACATGAAAATATCACTGTAGCGTACTAAGTAGTTTAAAGTAATAGGAAGTGTGAGAAGTTTGCTCAGAACTTCATCCTGCTTCTTAAAAGAGCGAAAAATCCCACCTGAAAGAAATAGCATCCAGAACAATGCTATAAAATATCTCAAGGTTAGTTACAAATGATATTTTATTACTGTTTCCAAATTGTAGGTAGGTGGGAAGGAATAGAAATATTGTGTTTGATATGATGTGAATCAATACAAAAGAAAATCCAATAAAAATGTTTGTTTTATTTAGAGTTTCAATATGCATTGATTAGTGTTTTACAAGAGAATCTCTGCCTAAACTGTAGCAACATATTGCTTAAATATTCTCAATACTGAGGAAGTGTAGCTAATACTTTAGGGAGATAATCAACCTAATCTCTCTAAGAGCAGTTACTTCCAAAGTTTTAAGGAGCTAATGCCATCCTTAAATTGAAGAGCAGTTGAGAATTTCTGTATTATCCAACTCTATCAAAGTATATACTGACATTAAATAATATCTTTTGTCATTATTTTTATTGAGCTTCTGAGCCAATATATTTTCTTCTAAATTATCACTATAAAGTGTAGCTCCGTTTACAGTGATTGAACAATCAATAGCTCTTTGAACTGATGTAATACTCTAAAATGTTTTCCCACCTTATCTTTTTCTGAGGGTTTAGTCTTTTTGAACCCCTATTAGCATTAGAAACAGATAAAGTGATCATGAGAAAAAGAAGAAAAAGACAGAATCATTCTCTTGCTGTTGTCAAGTTCTAATGCCAAGTTCCACCTCTCCCAAAGGAAGACCGGCAGCTAGCTGCTCCACACGACAGGGCTTTGTGGAAGTAGTCTGTGACTTGACCTGGGTTTCCAAAGAGCTAACTCTCTCAGAGCACGTCAACAGCATCAAGTGGGGTGGGCTGCCAGAGAGAGGGTCTGGGGTTGTGCCAGTGACCCCGGATTCTACGATCTCCTTTCAAATACAAGCACCTGGGTAAAACCCAAGTCGTCTTTCTTTCAGTAACAGACTTCTCTGACTCAGACATTTTAAAAGACTGGGAAAAAAAATTTTACTGTTGCTTTTAGTTTTAACTTAAAATGAGAGGTAATGTTTTTTTCTTTTATAAGGTTATTTGACACTCTCAAGGAATCTCCTAATTACTTTTGGTTTAGAAAAATCAGATTTGGTCAGTAGCTGGATAGCCACATACACACAAATGGGGAATGAAGTGAATTCTATTCATGGGGATAGCATTAATCTATGAGAAGAAAAAGGTTGACTCACCGCTATCCTCTTTTGCTATTTCTGTTACATGTCTTCAGAGTGACTGCATCTCTATCAGCTTATGTAAATAATTATATTAGTATGAATAGATGATTATTTTAGTTCACTCTAACATAAAAATGCAACATAAAGAGGGGAATTTATAAGCAACAGAATTCCCCATAGTTCTGGAATCTGGAAATCTGCAATGAAGATTCTAGAATGTTTGGGCTGTAGAGAAAATTGTCTTTGGCATGCAGTCCACCGATATATTGTGCTGTGGACTTTTCTCATATGGATGGGGGGCACACAGTTTATAGCACAGGTAGTGTAGAACAGACTTATTTTCTTTATAATTCATCTCTTCTACACATCCTATTTTTTCTCATTTAATTTTATCCTTAGTATTAAATTTCTGGTTAACTGTATTCATGGGTCATTTTTCTTTATTTACTTCTGGGTATATTTCTACATGATATTTGTGACATGAGGCTATCAGGAAAAGAATGAAAAGTGAAATAAACCCCTAAAACTAAGTGTAGGTACCTTTAATACTCTGATTCCTCAAATGCATGGATTACAAAACACATTATAAATTCATGTGTGTGTGTGTTTTGGAGAACTCATTACTAATTAAACCATGACTTCCTCTCAAGATAGGATTGACCCAGAGTTTAGAGTTTTATGATGTCAAATATAGGTACCCAGAATGCATGAAATACACATACAATTTGATTTTTACCAGAATACCACTGAGAATACATTATTGGTCTTGCTCAAAAGACGAGGAAAATTAGTACGGAACCTATAAGCAACAATTACAAGAGTCCAAAATGCATACATAGAGCAGTTGGTATGCAGAATAAAATGGACTTCGTGGGTTGTCTTCTTTCTATAGATTTCTGTTTCTGAAGAGATCACTGTTGATGCCCTACTTACAGTCATTTGTGGAAATACCAGTCATGACCCTTATTTAACAGCATGGTGAGACCACACTATTAGGAAGCCAGGCACAAAAAAATGTGATCAATGATGTAACCTAAAGTGGAGTTCAGTAATTTTTTTTATCTGCAGATCTCTTAAGAAAAACATGCAGGCCAGGGCTGGGGATTTAGCTCAGCGGCAAA